AAAAAAAAAAAAAAAAAAATTTTAGGGGCACCTGGGTGGCTTAGTTCAGTGTCATGATCCAGGGGTTGTGGGATGTAGCTCCACTTCGGGCTCCGTGCTGAGGGTGGAGCCTGCTTAAGATTCTCGCTCTCTCCCCTCCCTCGGCTCCCTCCCCCACACACTCTTGCTCACTCTATAAAAAAAAAAAGTAAATTTTTTTTTTTGCTTTACAGGCTTTAATTTACATAAAGCAGATAAAGTAAAATAATTTAAGGCGTGTCTACGGTACCAAAAAACATAAAACTTCATCCCCTTATCTCATTGGATATATTAATGTCATATTTTGTTGTATTTAAAAATTCTAAAATTCTTTTTTTTCCCCAAATTTAAAAAAATCTATTTTGAAAGAGACAGAGACAGCGCAAGTGGGGGAGGGGCAGAGAGAGAGGGAGAGAGAGAATCTCAAGCAGGCTCCGCACTGTCAGTGCAGGGCCCAAGGCAGGGCTCGAACCCACAAAGCCGTTGAGATCATGACCTGAGCCGATACCAAGAGTTGGGTGCTCGAGGGACGGAGCCACCCAGGTGCCCCTAAAAACTCTTATTTATTTTAAAACATTCCAAGTTTCATACTTGAGTCAGAAGGGCCTTCTCCCCAATCCATTATCCTGAATGCCCCCAGAATGTCCCTAATGCCATTTCCATGAAGTGAAACTGAGTTTCACGTACACACACAACCCTGAATGTCACAGACCCTGTCATCAAGTATTAAGGAAGAGCCCTAGATACCCAGTGGGGAGAGTATGCCACACGGCACCCCGGGGACTTGCCCACAAGGACGCGAGCAAGGCAAACGTACGAGGAGAATGAACAAGGAGACGGTGCCGATTACCCCATTTCTGGCTCTGTGTTGTTCTCGCAAAACTTAAGAACGCGCTGTACGCTTTATGCTTTGCATTTTTCTCATGCCCTCCCACCTCAGTTTATGAGACGGGTAGCCTGGTAATTATCTGCTACTCCTATCCCATATTATACAAGAGGAAATTGAAATAAGGTAAAACCGAGTGGTGGGACTGTCCATGCTCACGTAGCTTTTACGGACAGACGCACCATCTGCCTCCCTCCACGAGGCATCACTGCGCCCCTGAAATGAGTCCGCGGTACGTAAACAAACAAAAGCAGGTCTGAGACCTGGACACGTCCCGAGAGGCGGGGTGGGGGGCAATCATCCTCAGGCCTGGTTATTGGTCGATCGCCTGCCACAAGCCAGGCCTGCCCTAGGCCCTTTGGGTGTCATCTCATTTGATCCTCCACAAACCTTGGGAACTGGACACTCTCCCTTCCTTGGTCCTACCGAGGTCACCGAGGCCCCGAACTTGCTCTCGGTGCCACAGTGAGGCCAGGACACCCCAAGCCAGCCTCAGCGCTCAGGCCGGGCCGACTCCCAAACCCATGCTCTTAACCAGCAGGTCTGCAGCCAAAGGATGATGCCGCTGGGGGCCGTCCCCGCACCCTGGAACACCCACAGCCCCGCCACCTCCCCGCAGCCCCGGCTGCCCCCTCACTTGACGGCCCCGACGTCCTCGGCGTAGCGCTGCATCTCTTCCCGGGCCCGCTCCTCCCGCAGCTCCCGCTGCAGCTCTTCGATCTTCTTCCGCTCAGCCTCATGCTTCTGCTCGGCCTTCCACACCTTCTCCACATTGCGGAGGGTCTGGGGGTGCCAGCTCTTCTTCAGATTCTGTGGTGGCGAAAGGAGGGAGAAGACGATGCGGGGAGCCGGTGGGTGCGTGGGCCCCACCACCACCGACCCCTCTGCTCCCTGTGCGTGCCAGGGCAGACATCTAGGGGCAAGGCATCGTTCACAACGGCGAGGTTGGCCCCCACCAATCTCCCACACATCCAGGGGTTCTGTTCAAGTATGTAAGCCTTCCGGCCTTGTCCGGGTTCCCTTTGAACACTTTTCACTCGGAATGCACACGACTCGGACTTCCACGGGCCATTCCTGAACTAAGGGTTAGTGATGACAGTAAAGGGGGAATGGGCAGAGAGGTGGGAAGGTAAACTCTAAAAGGCAACAGAACTCAAGTGTCTTTGGCAGGGGACCTTTCATTTTCACGAACACAATCTTCCTTCTCTCGAGTCCACTTAACCTGCCTTCACCTTGGTTTACAACCCCAACCTTTCGTGGTTTACAACCCCACCGAGTACCTCTTTCACCCTTCCTTCCTGGGACTCTCCCCTTGGTTCTGAGCTCCCCTTCGCACTACACCTTGACGGACTTCAAGAATGCTTCTCCTCTCCCGCTTCCCCATAAGCCACTACTTTGGTTCAGCTTCCCAACCAGGGAAGGTTTCCTGGAAGCAGTGATGATCTAAGGACAATTACAATTTAGCCCAGTGATGCAGGAAGCAGGGTAGAGTGGGGGCAGATTTCCAGAGGGAACAGCACACACAACCGCAGGCCCAGCGGCAACAAAGAACACAGCACAGATGATTTCGTGTGGCTAAAGATGGCATGCAAGCGGATGAAGGGGGATGGGGCGGGGGGTGGGGGTCCAAGATGAAATCAACAAAACCAACTAAGAAAGCAATAGAATAAGGGCCTTATAAACCATGTTAATGGAGTGGGCTTTATCCTGTGGACAGTAGGAAACACTAAACAGTGCAGGCATGACTAGCTATCATGTGAAGAATGGATTGGAGACGGCAGAGACTGGAGACCAGGAGACCGGTTAAGAGGCCTAAATGAGAAAACCAACACAAGGTATCTGGCATGGAGAAGGTATTCCGTCAATGAGGGCTCTCTTTTCTTTCTTTTCTCTCTTCCTCCTTGTCCTTCCTTTCCCTTCATCAGGTCACTCAATCCCCTGTCCCCACCCCATCCCTGGCCTTAGCCTACTGGTCTTCCTCTCTCTCCTTTAACATGGGTGATCTTGCCCCCCCCCCATGCACTCCACATTTGACAATGTCCAGACACATTTTTGGTTGCCCCATCCAGAGAAGAGTGCTACTGGTATCCAGTGGCTAGGGACCAAGAATGCTGCTAAACATCCTACAATGCATAGGGCCATCATCCCCCCACCCCCGACACACACACACACACACACACACACACACACACACACACACACACAAGCAAAACAAAAAGCGGTGCCTGGGTGGCTCAGTCAGTTGAGCATATGACTCTTGATTTCAGCTCAGGTCATGATCCCAGGGTCATGGGATCCAGCCACACTCAGCATTAGAATTAGGTGTCATTCTAATCAGTGACACCTAACAAACTCTAATACAGATACTGGATAGGTAGAATTGATCTATTTGCTGATTCAATCAGCTACACTTTAAAGAGATTAGCATCTTTCTGACCTTGCACCATGCCATTGTGGGTCTTTTGCCCCGTCGGGGGCTTCAGCACCCTACAAATGAACTATGCAGTTCAGGAGAAATTGCCACATCACTTATATTTAAGTGCTATAAATTCAGAAGAAAGCTCTGTCACTACAGATCAGAATGAAGCACTGACGAGGAGTGGAAGTCAGAAAGGTGGACATGAAGAAGATCTCTTCAGGTTTAAAACAGACCCCTGGATACGGCTCAAGGGCAAAGAGAATGGGGCACAAACCACTCCTACTATAGTCCAAAATATGACTGAACTCCCAGCTGAGGAAGAGAGAAGTGTCCCAAGACAAGACATACAAAGTAAAGCTTGCGTGACTCGATATCTGCCTCCTTTCGTAAGCATGGTTCCACCATCACCACCACCACCACCACCCCCTCCCAGAATTTCCAGTCGGGAGAGTCCCCGCGAACAAACAACGCAAACACCTGCCGCCACCGTTGGCGACACGCTTCACACACCTTTCCAAGTCTCCACCCTGTCCCTCCGTGGCCCCAGAGATCGGTCCCCTCTCCAAGGCTACGGCTCCCTTCTCGCGAAAGCACGGCTGTGTAGCCATGGTCACCCACTCCCACACCCTCCAATTTCCGTCCCCAGACCCGGTCGGTCTCCCGCTCAGTCCTCTCCCGCCCAGGCTTCCCCCACTTACCAGATCTCCGCCCCCCATGACGACGGAGAAGTTTCCTCTCTGCGCGGGCCTGGAGGATTCAGGAGGGATCCGGAGGAAACGTAGACAAACAGTTCAGCTGCGACCTCCCCGGATCTGGTCTCGGAGGCCACCGGCTGCCACTTCGACTGCCAGATCTAGAGCCCACTTCCGGGAGGGCGTCCTATTACAGCGTCGGCGTCGCGGGATGATGACGTTTCGCACTCTGACGCGCAGCAGCGCGAGCGTCACGGCCAGTGACGCCCAGATTGGCGGCGCCTGCCGTCGCGTTTTGGGCCTCTTGGTTGGCACCTCACCCGGTTTCGCGAGCGCTGTGTTGAAACGCCGCTGCTCGGTCCAGTTACCAGTCGGCCGCGGACTGCGCCCCGCGGTCCTGTTGCCATGGCAGCGCGCCACGACTCGTCCTCCCGGCTCTTCCGCAGGCCGCACCGGGCTTCTGCCCGCAGGGCCCCAGCGCCGACCAGCCTACGTCTGTCTCCTCGCCCGGGCACACCTCCCCGCAGCGGCCTTTTCCAAAAAAAATAGCCCGCACTCCCCTCCAACCTCCACGCAGGGTCAACTCCCTTACTCCAGGCCGAGTTTACTGAAAGAAGGAGAAAGCATCGAACCGAACTTCCATCGGCTTCCCTGCACCAAACCTTTATTTAAAAAATAAATAAATAAATAAATTTATTTTTTGTTTATCAAATAATCTTTACCCCCAACCTGGGCCGGAACTCACGACTCTGAGAGATCAAAAGCCTCGTGCTCTACCCGCTGAGACAGCCAGGCGCCCCTCCCTGCACCAAACCTTTAAAACGCCAGCTTCCCCATTTCCTTTCCCTTGGTTTACGTTGGAAGGGGCGTCGTTCCTAAGGCGGGGCGGTTCATCACACTCTCATCAAAATACTTTTCACTTGACTTCTCCGCACCACTCTCTAGAGTGTTGTTTTCTTCTGCAATCCCTTCTCAGGGAGCATTTTGTTCCTACTTCATCTTGCCTCTTAGGTTCTGTCTTGGGTCTTTTCACACTAAATGCTCTCACTGGGTGATCTCGTCTACTCACAGGGCTTCAGTTACCATCTATAAACTGATGGATCCCAAATTCATTACCTCCAGTCATATTTATCTTTCAAGCTCCAGGTTTTTAAGCCTGGCTGTTAGATATTTCCAGTTGGACATCTGGGAGGCACATAAACTGAACTTATTATCTAACCTATCCGTATTCCCCCAACCCACCTCTTTTATCCCTTATTACCACCACTTCCATCCTGGAATCATTCAAGACCTCTCCCTCCCCTCCCACCATCCAATCAGTCAACAAGATCCTCACTGCTGAACATCTCTCACATCTATCCACCTCTCTATCACCATTCACCGCCAGCTTGGTTCAGACTACCATCATCCTTCCTCTGGGAGAATTCTTATGTCCCTTCTCAAAGTATTATCCCTTCCGGATCTATGCATGACTTTATACTGAGTGATCTCTCTAAAATGCAAAACGCTGTATCAATCTCCATGCTTTAAAACCTTTTATAATTCGGCATTATTCATACTATAATGTCCATATATTTATTTGTTTGTTTTTAGAGGGAGAAAGAGAGCAAATGGAAGAGAGAGGAGAGAGAGAGAGAGAGAGAGAGAGAGAGAGAGAGAGAGAGAGAGAATCTTAAGCAGGTTCCACATTCAGTGTGGAGTCCAGCCAGGGCTCAATTCCATGACCCTGGGATCATGACCTGAGCAGAAATCAAGAGTCAGAACACTCAACCGACTGAGCTCTCCAGGGGCCCCTAAAGTCCATATTTTTAACATATCTAGGCCCTTCATGACCTGTCCCTTCTTAACCTCTCCAGCCTCATGAGACTTCCTACCCCTTATTCACTGTTTTCTGGCAGGAAAACTTTTATCTCCCTGGCCAAACACTCTTAACATATTTTAAATAGCTAATGCATTATAAATACATTTTAAAAGATGCAAAAGGCAATACAGTAAAAAAGTCACCCACCATCCTATACCCTCCTCGATCAGAGTTATTTTATCTCATGTTTCCTTCAAGTACCTTCTTTTTTAAGTTTATTTATTTTGAGAGAGAGAGAGAGAGCAAGCAGGAGAGGGGCAGAGAGAGAGAGAATCCTAAGCAGGTTGCTCACTGTCAGTGCAGAGCCCAACGTGGAGCTCAAAATCATGAACTGTGAGATCATGACCCGAGCTGAAATCAGGAGTTCAACGCTTAATCAACTGAGTCACCCAAGCGCCCCTCCTGCAAGTAACTTTTTAATTTTATATTAAATATTTATGTCTCGGATCCATTTGGAATTTATTTGTGTGTATTGTCTTTCCAGTTGGCTACACATTTGCCTCAATGCTTTACAGAATAATCTTGTATTTTCCCCACTGGTGTGAAATATCCCTTTATTATATAGTGTATTCCCATTCGTATCTGAGTGTGTTTCTGGATTCTCTATTCCATTTCATTAATCCCTCTATTCATATACTATTACCAAACTGTCCTCATTATTATAACTTTTTTTTAATGACTGGTATGCCTACTTCTCCCTCAATACTCTTTCTCTGGAATGTCCTGGCTCTTCTTACACTTTTATTCTTCCAAGTGAACTTTTAAAGTCAGCTTGTCCAGTTCCAGAAACAGTGCTGTTTTGTTTTTATTGAAGGATATATCAATGTTTAGATTAATTAGAATTATAGCACTTATCACGCTGTTTTATAAATTGCCTGTATTCTTGTCTGTATCCATGTGAGTTCCATAATACTAGAGACTTTAGGTCATCTTTGTGTGCTTTATGCCTGGGACAGATTCTGGCACACAATAGTTGCTCAATTAAGTGTCGTTAAATGAATGAGTGAATGGATTGCTGAATCCTTAAAGGCTCATGTCTGGAGTCAAAGTTGACCAACATATTTTTTTAGGGTATGATCTCATAAAATAACAGTAATCATTAATGTTATTAATAATTACACAATAATAGGGGCGCCTGGGTGGCTCAGTCGGTTAAGCGTCTGACTTCAGCTCAGGTCATGATCTCATGGCTTCTGAGTTTGAGCCCCGCGTCGGGCTCTGTGCTGACAGCTCAGAGCCTGGAACCTGTTTCGAATTCTGTGTCTCCCTCTCTCTCTGCCCTCCCCCTCTCTCTACCCCATTCTCACTCTGGCTCTCTCTCTCTCAAGAATAAATGAACATTAAAAAAATTAAATAATTACACAATAATAAAAGGGGTTGTATATTTGAAAAAGCAATGACTTTGTATGCCATGTAGGTTACTGTGACTTTGGACAAGTTATATAACCTCTCTGAGGGTTTTTCCCCGTCTGTATAATAAATATACTACCACCTACTGTGAAAGTTGTTGTATTACATGAAACAGCATTTGTAAAGCATTTCACAAAGTGTCTGGCAGATAGCAGATGCTCAGTGGATGATAACAATTCTACCATGTTACTAACATCTGTAGAACTTCTTTTCTAGGACTCTATCTGATTGACATGAGAGATTAGGACAAGGATGCTTGTAAAAGTCAATGGTGCCATAGTTTTGTGGTGGAAAATATTTTAATACAAGACTCCCTATATTTGAGGGAGAGAGAACTGAAATTGCAGGAAATAATTTCTTTTCACCAGTGTTTTCCAAATTGTGACCTGGGGACTACCCATAATGGATTGCCCTGAAGGTCTTATTCAACCCTACAGAACCCTGGGCCCTACCCCTGAATCACTGAATCAGACTTCCCAAAGGGTCGAATCCCCAGATTCTAACAAGTTCTTCGTGTGATTCAGATGCACAGTAAAATTTGAAAATGTTTTTAGAATAAGGTTAGTTTTCAAGGAAAAATATAGTCTTGTCTGAAACCAGGAAATGTGAAGGTTGTTTACAAACATCGTGATACAGAGATGCTTCCCCAATAAGGAAAGGCGAGACATCACTGATCAAGAAATTAATCACTGTGGCTGACTTGTGTTGCCTTTTCATCCAGCTACTCATCATTCATCCATCCATCCATCCTTCCATCCATCCCTCCATTCAATAGATGTCAGACACTGGACAAATTGTATTATAGCCATAGTCTGCAAACTGACAAATTCTCTTCCTGAGGTAAAGTCAGGTCTTTGCTACTCCCCAGCTATTCCAGAGACAGATGCTCCAACTTTTGCTTCTTTGGGGCTTGTAGCAACCAGCCCTGTCAAGTAATCATAAATAGCCCCACAGCTGTTGACCAAGGTGAACACAGATAGGCTCTGATCAAGTGATCTGGTTAAGCATAGATCTTTGCAGAAAGTGGTGGGAGAGGGAACTTTGGGGGTAAGTTAGCCAAAACATCATCGAAGTTAGGAAGCATTTCTTTCTTTCTTCCTTCCTTCATCCATCAGCACCTTAAGGGAGAGATGATTATAGGCTAGTTAGCACTATACTTTTGTATGGAAGCTACAAAGATGGAAACTGTTTCTTTCCTGAAGGGGCTCATGGTGTGGAGGAGGTGACAGACATCTAAACACCTGACATCACTATAGTATAACAAAGGCTACAATTGAGAAATGTACAAAGTAATGTATTAACACAGAGAAATAAATTTTTGCACAAGCAGCAAAACATAATGAGCTCTGGAGTCAAAACACACTTGGGCTGGGATGCTGGCATGCCACATTGCAAGTCGGGAAACTTTTCTGAGCCTCAGTTTCCCCATAACCAAAACAATGATTTTATTAGTACCTAACCTACCTCATAAGGTTGCTGTGTGTATTAAATGAAGTAATGCTCTGCTCACCTACTTCAGTCATTCAAAAGTACCACTGTCATGATTTTTGTCATGTTCATATAGCAATGACATTTATTTAATACTTTTACTTATATTGGTTCACCTTTTTAAAAACAGTCCCCAACATTTCATTATGAAAAATTTCAAACATTCAACACAGGTGAACGAATTTTACACGGAACATCTATAAACTCACCACCTACATTCTACAGTGAACACAGTGAACATTTTACTATATTACTATACTGGCTTGATCACATTTCTTTCTCTCTCTATATAATATATATTTATATTTTTATATATATAATTTATTATGTTGATTTATATAGTTAATATAAATTAGAATTAATGTGTAAATAATAAAAATACAAAATATAAATATATAAATAAATATATAAATATATATTATATTAAAATATATTAAATAAAATATAAATGTATAAATATAAATTAAT